GGGTGGTGGGCGGGGCAGGGAGTTCCATCTCAGCTAAGAGCAGTGGCTGCTCCCTATAATTTGCTTTTTCTACATTCTTTAGGGTTCTCTTGATTTTAATCTCACTTAATAGTTATTAATTTTTTATATTCAACTTTCCCCCATTAAATTACTAAGTGGTTTCTTTCTCCTGATTGGACCCAGGCAGAAACAGAGGCCAGCACATCATGGTGTGTTCCAGTCCCGTAGGTACTAGAGGGGCTGATTCTGATGGGGAAGAGCAGCCTGCAGAGAAGTGCTGTGCCTTCGGGACTCACCCTGCCGACTCCTCTGAGCTGTAAGTCGCTGTGACTAATGATTTGCCAAGTGGGGGGAGGGGGAAACTCGAACTTAATGGCTAACAAGGTGAAAAGGCTCAATAAGTCTCGCTTGACAAATGGAGTTCAGCCAGCTTGGGCCCAGTAGCATCTCAGCGTTCCATGTTTCTCTCTCATCGATGTTTCTGGCTCTCTATCCCTCTCCCTTCCTCTCTGTAAAAATAAATCAATAAAATATACTTTTTAAAAAAAAAAGAGGCCACTAGATCTCTGAGGGAAATTTTAGCTCCCATTCCCCACTGAAGCAAGGCTGCTGGCTCTGTGGGACCCTCAGCTCCCAAAGAGGCTCAGTGGGGCTATTAAGAAAAAAAATCTGCCCTGACCGGTTTGGCTCAGTGGATAGAGCATCGGCCTGCGGACGGAAGGGTCCCAGGTTCCATTCCGGTCAAGGGCATGTACCTTGGTTGCAGGCACATCCCCAGCAGTAGGGATGCAGGAGGCAGCTGATCAATGTTTCTAACTCTCTATCCCTCTCCCTTCCTCTCTGTAAAAATCAATAAAATATATTTTTTTAAAAAACGAAAAAAATCCATGCTATTTCATATAGTCAATTGAATATGAGGGAAAAGAGAGAGAGAGAGAGACCCAGCTCATTAGTCATTATTGGAAATACCAGAGGCCCAATCTGTTACTCTGAAACTAGCGATTAAGAGAATGAAATACTTATCTTGTCTTCAGGATAATCAAATAGACCTAACGGAAGAGAAATTTCCAATTTACAGAGGAATGCCAGCCAGTGAATGTGTAAGGAACGTTAGCATCAGAAAGTTATCACCTCGCCACCTCTGCTGAAGTAATTGAGTCACACAGCAGTCATCAAGGGATAGTATCACTGGACAATGGTGAGCAGCTATAGAGCAGGGACCAGCTGTCACCGCCCTCACCCTTTGATCAATCTTAGCCACTAAAAATAGAAGCCAGACGTTAGGTGCCTCCTGATGTAATGCAATAGGAAAAACACAGCACCAACTGTGACATATTCTTGCCAAAAGGAAAAAGAAAGAAAGAAAAGGTTAAACCTGAATCTAATCAAGTCTCTACCTTGAACTAGGGGAAATAAAGGAGTTAAAGAAGGAAGTTAAATAGAACCACAACGAAATGAAAAGGAAACAAGTCAGAATGTGGGACAGTCTATGGGACAATGGATCTCAGCTTATGGAACAAGCCAGTGGCAGAGAAAAGTAGGAGAGGGAGATTTAAAAAGCACAGCAAACAAATGTAACGAGTGGACCTTGATTTCATCTTAATTTGAATAAATAATCTGTTCAAATTATTTTGAGACAATCAGGAGAATTTTGGTTATGGTCTGATTATAAAATAATTCTGAAGAATTACTGTTAATTTTATTAGGTGTGATAATAACATTGTATTTAAAGAAGAAAATGTGTTTTTTATTTTAGGGACTAAACTATGCTGGAGGGAAATGACACGTTGTCTAGGATTTTCTTGAAAATACTTTAACAACAAAAAAAATAAAACAAATGAATAAATGAAACAAATGTGGAAAATCTTCATAATGGTTGAATCTGGGAGATTGACATCTAGGAATTCACTGCACTATTCCCTGCAATTTTGTGCATGTCTGGTAACCAAATAATTCAAAGCCTTTTAGACAATAGATTAAATAATATATTTAAAAAAGAAATTGAAACCATTATGAGCAACACAGAAACTAAACATCGAAATGTTTGGGATATGGAAAAATATTCACAGGAAAACGTATAGGCTTCAATGTATTAATTATGAAAAATAAGCATTTAAATTGAAAACTTAAGAAAAGGCACACTTTGGCATCTGACTAAGGTGGAGTGGATTTACCTCTTCCCTGAAACAACAAAAAACAAACAGCATATAGGAAATAGTAGTTCCCAGTATACGAAATATCAGGCGATAAAAAAAAAATGTGATCCCAGAGAGACAGGAAACAAAAGAGGTGAGCCCCATGATGAACTCAGCTTCCTTCGGGAGGGAGCACCCAGGAGGAGCTCAGCAGGCTCCATGAGTTGGAGGATGGTATTCCCAGGAGGCGGAAAGACACCTAAAGTTTGAAAGATAGAGTAACAGAGGAGAGAGAGCTGCAGAGAGACCTCTGGGTCTGTGCCCTGACTGGGACTTGAACCACCACCTTTTGGTGTATGGGATGACACTCCAACCAACTGAGCCCTGCCCGCCAGGGCTATAATTTATTGTATTAAGTATGCCTATATAGTCCAAGCATAGGAAACACATGTTTTTAAAAGTTCAAGTAGCATTTATAATAGAGGAAATGTAAGGTGGTATGAACAACTTTCATTTGTCTTATCATTGTAATAATAAAACAATTAACATTATAGAATTTTTATGAGCCAAAATATTTTTTCCAAAGAAGACGAATACTTTATTAACGTGCTAAGAATAAGTCCGTATAAAATACATTTTGAAAAAATTCAATTGGTGCTAAGAATCCCTCTGCCTGCACCCTCATCCCCAACCCCACACTTCGATGATGTTCTCCTGACAGTGGGCAGCAGGGGGTCATCAGCCCTGAGGGCAAAGGTGAGGTGCTCTGCCGGTTCCAGATCACACTCCAGGTTCACAATCACCTGCCAACAGGTGAGCCTGCTCCACGCTGAGCCATGAGCCTCAAAGCCCAGGGCAGTGAAGTACACGTGCAGGTAGGTGGTAACAGGGCAGGTAGCGAAGGAACATCAGGAAGAGTCTCTTGGCAACCCTGCAGGATGGCTTCCTGCCCATCCTGGAAGATGTGCTGAGCAGTGACAGGTGCTCTGGAGTGAGGTCCCAAAGCCACCTGATGTCCTGGTGATGGCAGGGGGCAATTGGGTTCAGGTCATCCAGCTGTTGTGGGTTCCCATTCAGGTCAGGGATGAGGACAAAGCCATCTGAGGGATCTGGGTTCTCAAGACCAGTATTTACCCCGGCGCTTTGTGGCATTTGACATTGTTGAACCTTCACTGCTAGTTAGAACTCTCCCTTTAGTCTCCATGCTCTCCTAACTTTCTGGTCATTCTCTCTCAATCTCATTTATAGGCTACCTTTCCTCAAATTCACCTTTCAGTCATTGATGTGGGCTGGGAAGAGGGTTTCCATGTCTGGGTCCTCTCCCCTGGGGATTATGAGGAGGCAGGAGAAACTAAAGGGAGAACTCGTGCTTGGTAGGACCAAACCCAAAGTCATCTGCTTTCCCTTCCTGGCCTCCCGGGACAACTGTGCAAATCTACTGGAGAAATAAAATAGATCAGTTTAGACAATACTTTATGAAGACACCATTTGACTTTATATGATTTTATTTTTCACAGAATAGCACAATTACAGCCAGATTTCTACTTCAGATGAATCTAGATACGGTAATATCAAAGTAAACTGGGTCGAAGGACTCTAAGAGTGACGCCCCAACTTTTTGGAGAAACTCCACATATGGAAAGAACTTGAAATCTTTGCCACTAGGGGAACTTTGAAGTTTCTCTTCCTTAACGTTTTTTGGGGGATCGTCCAGCGAATGGTTTGGGGTATAATCTCCAGTGAGTCTGCTGGTACACAGGCATAAAAAAATGGCTGGTTTTGTTTTCCTTCATAATGGAAATTGAAATCTTCTTGATGAGGTTTTGATGCTGACTTACGTTTGCTCAGAAAATAACCTGCTCTTTCTGGCTCCCAAGCACGCACTTTCTTCTCCCTTGTGCGTTTTGCTTTCCTCTGTGTATCATTGGGGTAGCAGTCCCAATGAACGTTGTTTCTATATGAATCAAGGTTTGACTTCTTTCTTTCTAGGTGTCTGTGAGGTTTGTCTTGGCTTTTTGCAAGATGTAATTTAAGATTTGATTCTGTTAAGGGAGCTAAAGAGCTTTCTGTAATCCACAAGAGCTTCTCTTCACTCAATTTAGTAGGCGATGCAAATGGAACCTCCCCAGTATTTAGTGAACTGTGACACAACCAGTGAGGAGACTGCACTGTCGGGGGAGCCCTATATTTTCTGGTGCTGTGGGATTCGTAGGAAGGCGTTGTCACAGCTGAGGAAGGTTTTCTACAGCCTCCAACAGGATGAGAAACCGAATTATCACTGTAAAGTGGTTTCAAATCAGTTTGGATTTGTTTCATCTTGTAAAGATTTTCCAAAGGAATGCTTTTCTGTAATTCATATAGCATATTTTCTGATTCCTGACTCAAATAAGGGTTGGCGTCTAAAAACATACTTTGTTCATTCTCATGTTTTTCAAGAGCTGAGCATTCTTCCAAGTTAGCTGAATTCTCAATATCTGTTTGACGATCAGTAAAATCTTGAAAAGTCTGAATTGAATGGTAATCAGCTAAGCTAGCTGTTTCTTGAAACCATACGTGATGTTTATCTTTTTCTGGGGTCAGATGAGGTTTTAACACTGAAAGAATCATAGTGTCTTCCTGTGTTGTTCCATGTTGTTCAGGGTCAGAAGCACACACATGGGTGAGCTCCAGGAACCTCCTGATCAATGATGAGTTTTCATGGGGACTTTGCTTTTTGAAAGAGATATGTTGTTCTAACAGTTCTGTATCAATGGAAAGACTACCACTTTCTCCATTATCGTCTACTTTTTTACACGTCGCAGCTGTGTTTAACTTAAGGATATGTTTGGGAAGTGTATTTGGCTTAGGGATCATACTTTCTACCGGAAGCCCCAGGAGAAAACTAAGGTATTTACTTCGTAAATCTAGTTCTATTTGATGAAGAGATTTTTCCTCAAACCCTAACGAAATTATGTTTTTTTGTTTTGGTACTTTGACACCAGAATAAATACATTTAGATAAAGGTTTCTTTCTAGCCTGAGTATCGGCCATTGAGTAAGATTCCGTTACAATTTTGGGAAAGGCTTTCATTTGGGTCTCCAATGTTTTCATAGAGAAGTGTATGAGAAGTTTGTCTTTTTCTTCCTCTGAGTAGTTTTGGAGAATTCGAGACATGGGCATTTTATTAGCAGAAGTCACTGAAGATGTTCCACTTTCTAGCTTACTTATACTCTTCACCTTTGTCATGATCTCCTTGCTGCCACTTGAAACAACAGTCAGTGTCTTCATACAGCTGATCTGAGGGGAATCTTTTTGGGGTTTGTGTTTTAAGTTAAGTTTGATAGTATCAATCCCTTCTAGAGATAAAAAGCTCATTTTTTTGTGTCTTGGATAGAGCCTCCGACTGTTATCTTCTGAAATAGTCCGTTTTGAATAAAAGTCGAACTTTTGGAAGGATTGTTTTGCCGTCTTGGGTATCAGATTCAGTTTTATCTCGAGTGCTTTTGACTCTACAATGGGTTTTGGCTGAAATGTAGGATGTTCTGTTGTGGATGTAATATCTGGACCCCCTGAAAAAGGTGTTGACTTCCAATCATCAGGACAATGAGCTTTTACTTTGTCCAGTTTATCAGTACAAATTTTGTCTTGGATCATATTTTTTATCTGGGATTCAAAGACATTTTTAATTGTATCATAAAAAGGAAGTAGACTTTCTTCACTTGTACAATCTGCCACTATTTTTATTTCATTACTTTCAACTTGGGGTAGTGTAGGTACAGTTCCTGAAAAAGTGTTTTGTTGCTGGACCTTTTGTGTGTTTGTGTCCTGTATGGGCTCACTCTGATCCCTATGCTCATGTCCTTCTACTCTTAGGGTACTTTTCATGTGGGTTTTCACATTTCCCTTTGGATCTTCAGACATGCTTGGACACTCTGTGGGTGTCAGAATGGGCTTTGGAGCCTTTTCCTCTTGCTCGATAGTAAGCAAGTCAGATTCTTTTATGACTCTGAAGCTATCATGCCCGGAAACAACCCCTCCTTCTGTTTGTAGAGTTACATTTATTTTATTCACTTCACTGCTGAGGTTTTCTTCTGGTTTACCACTAGGAGGTTTTTGCATTTGTCGTTGGCCCACCGTGGAGGGCTGAGAATCTTCTGGAACTATGCTTGGAAAATTCTGGCCTCCTCTTTTCACGGTGCTGGAGTTGTCCCTCTCAACAATTTCACTAGCCATTAATGATTTCTCCTGAAATTTAGAAAAACAGATTCTCTTTTTTCTTTCTTGCTTTGTCTCAGATTCGACCATTTCTTCCGTCTGAGATAGATTCATCCCAGAAATAAAAAGACTTCTGATAAGTACTCCTGAGTCATCTTCATTCTGTGAAGCTATTTCTTTTGGTTTGTTAAACCCACCCTCTTTACTTTCCTGTGTCTCCTCTTCTTGATGTATGGGGAACACGAGGTTTATCGTCTCCACACCAACCTCTTCCTTATTCTGTGGCACACATTGCTTTCCCTCTTGTGGACTGATTAGAATATCAGGAATAATTGGCTCTACATATACAACTTTCTCAGCACTTGATGATTCCTGGAAGTGTACTGGGGAAACGGGGGATCTTGTGAATGGTGAAATGCTCTTTTCCTTGATCCTGATATTCATGTTAAGGTGCACTGGGGGAGAGCTAGAAGTGCAAGTCTTAGTCAGCATCACACCAGTTGGCTCAACTTTCTGAAACTTTCCCTTTTGCTCTTTAGTTTTCCTCTGAAGGTCACTTAGATTGTATATAAGTAAAATAGGTGATTTCTTTGTTTTCAAATACGTATCAATGGGATCCACTATACTATTCATATCCATGGTTTTCTCTTTAGTCTTTACTTCTTTCTGTAGCACGAGTTCTTTTAATTCTTTTACATCAGTGGAAAGTTCTCCGTCAATTGCTTCTGCATGTGATGATTCCTTGGACTGAGGTTGTGGGAGAGGCTCTTTTGCAATTATTATCATGCACCCCTCTCTTTCTGTGGCCTCAAATTTAAGATATGGTAGAGTAACCAAAGAGGTACAAATGTTTTTGATATTCGTAACTAGTTTGTTTTTATCTTCCTGTACTTTTCTCTTTTGCTCTTTAATTTCACACCGCAATTCTTTGATATTAAGTATATGTGGAGGTGGTAATTTCTTTGCCTTCAGATCCATGTACATTGGGAGCATTTTGTCCTCAATATCTCTTTTGAGTCTATCGTCCTTCTTTAACATATAACCTTCAAGTGACGTAGCATATGCTTTTTTGCCTGAATAGGATGAATGCTGACTCTTTAACGGTGGAAAACAGGGTTGCATTGTTCCTAGTGTGTCTTCCTGTTCATTCATTCTAGTGTCCCATTTCAGGTGAAATGGAGAAGGTACGGAAGCACAGGCTTTCCTCAGGACCATGTCTGGCTTACCTTTGTCCTTCTGTGTATCTTTCACCTTCTGTTTAATATTCAAAGGTTGTCTTTTCTTACTGAGCAGATGTGTAGGTGGGGATGTCTGTATTCTCAACGTCATTATTTGGGGGAGTAGTCTACATTTCCCTTCTTCTATTTTTACTCTGTCCATTATGTCTGTATATGACATATGTTGATTAGGTTCTACTATTGTATTACATGAGCTGATATGTTCATTGAAATTTGCATCTTTGTTGTTCCCTGTACCCGAGGACTCAGGGAGCTGTAATTGTGAAAAAGAAAACCCTGTAATTTCAAGCAAGTCTTGGTCAACTTTGGTTCTGTTTTGTTCTCTGTCCTTTTCTTTCTGTGATAAGTGTTTTCTTTTTCTTACATCACCACCGATTGTCTCTCTATCTTCTGTTTTCTCTGCATCGAATAATGCTGAAACCATTTGTGGAAATAGAATGGGTCTTTTAATTCCAAGTTCTTCCTCTACTTGAGTATCTTTATCTAATTTGAGGTCAGTTGGAGGTTTGGAAATATGAACTTTCCTTAGCACTGTACAAGGTGATCTACCTTGACCTTCATGTATCTTCTGTCCTTGACTTCCAATGCTCATGTGCAATTCTGTTCTTTGGAGTGTATCTGATGAAGGAGATTCCTTTGACTTCATACTTATATCTGAAGCATGTGTCATACCTCTCATAGCTACTGTTTTATCTCTGTTCGTCTCTTCTTCCTGACGCATATGTTGTTTCTTGTTTTGAACATTTTCCATGATATCCCCACTAATTGGCTCAATATGCACTATCTCCCCTGCATATGTTACTCTCTGCATTTCTTTATTCCATTTGAGGAGAGAGAGGGATTGTAATGAATTAGAAGTTTGGGTCATAAGCACCCCTGGTCCATCTTTACTTCCCTGCATCTTCTCTTCTTTATTTTTTGGCAACATGAGGTTTATTGTCTCCACTGCAACCTCTTCCTTGTTCTGTTGCACATTCATTTCCATTGTGTAGCCTGACCTATTGTTTTGCGTATCAGTGGGATTGGCCTTCTGTGCTTCCCTGTAACATGTTGATTTCTCTAGCTTTAGATAGACAGAGTTCTTGAATCTTACTCTTTGTTGATCCATCTCTGCCTTTAATGTTCTATACATTTCAATATCTATTTTGTCATCAGTTGAAAGAGGTCTGGGAGATGAAAATGCATTATCTATGCTTTTATTTTGTTGCATGTCTTTTATTGGAAATTTTGAGTTGCATTCCTGTTCCTTCCTACAGTATAGGGTACCATGCTCAGTGACAGTGAGTGTCTGGGAACAAGGAGGCTTCTGTGTCTTCATGGTTACACTTATGGGACCTGTAAGATTTTTTCCCTCTGGAAACTTGAATACCTCTTTCTTTGCTTTAGATTCAGATAATATTGACATTGTGGACCTTGTTAGTAAATCTCTTTGCAAGTCTTCATATTTCTTGGCAATATGTCCATCCACTTTCCTTCTAGAGCTTTCATCACATGGATCTCCAAGCATTGCGTACCCTGACTTGGTAGGTGGGATATTTTGATCAACTGTGTGTTTTATTACTTTTTGAGCTACAATGTCTTTCTTTTCTTCTTTAGAGTGTAGGGAACCTGCCCTGTGAACATCCAGCTTCCTTGTAGAGCTCCCACCAGATGACGTACTATACTCTGTTCCATCAGCTAAAAGATAATCAAACCTTACTTTCCCAGATTTTGGACATGAAATAATCTCACCTAATTTTTGTAGTATGTATTTTATTGGTGGCATATTCTTCTGTAGCTTTTCAGTTTGGAATGGAATCATCAGCGGAGAAGAAACTGACTCTGATATGCTTTCTGAGACCAGTATTTGTTGCTGGGCTTCTCGCTTTGCAATAAGCGTATTTTGTTCTTTTCTACATTGCATACTATTCAGGAATGGTAGACGTGCTTTGAATAAAATTTCATTATCTTGTTTATGCTTTTCATTTTGCCATTTTGATTCTAAGATGCTTTTGGAGGTAGTCCATTTATTACAGGAATATGTACATAGTGGTAATTTCTTTGCCTTCCGATCCATGTACGTTGGGAGCATTTTGTCCTCAATATCTCTTTTGAGTCTATCGTCCTTCTTTAACATATAACCTTCAAGTGACGTAGCATATGCTTTTTTGCCTGAATAGGATGAATGCTGACTCTTTAACGGTGGAAAACAGGGTTGCATTGTTCCTAGTGTGTCTTCCTGTTCATTCATTCTAGTGTCCCATTTCAGGTGAAATGGAGAAGGTACGGAAGCACAGGCTTTCCTCAGGACCATGTCTGGCTTACCTTTGTCCTTCTGTGTATCTTTCACCTTCTGTTTAATATTCAAAGGTTGTCTTTTCTTACTGAGCAGATGTGTAGGTGTGGATGTCTGTATTCTCAAAGTCATTATTTGGGGGAGTTTTTTTCCTTTTTCATCTTCTGTTTTTACTCTGTCCTTTGTGTCTGTATGTGGCATAAGTTGATTAGCTTCTATTATTGTATTAAATGAGCTGATATGTTCATTGAAATTTGCATAATTGTTGTTCCCTGTACCCGAGGACTCAGGGAGTTGTAATTGTGAAAAAGAAAACCCTGTAATTTCAAGCAAGTCTTGGTCAACTTTGGTTCTGTTTTGTTCTCTGTCCTTTTCTTTCTGTGATAGGTGTTTTCTTTTTCTTACATCACCACCGATTGTCTCTCTATCTTCTGTTTTCTCTGCATCGAATAATGCTGAAACCATTTGTGGAAACAGAATGGGTCTTTTAATTCCAAGTTCTTCTTCCTCTACTTGTGTACCTTTATCTAATTTGAGGTCAGTTGGAGGTTTGGAAATATGAACTTTCCTTAGCACTGTACAAGGTGATCTACCTTGACCTTCATGTATCTTCTGTCCTTGACTTCCAATGTTCATGAGCAATTCTGTTCTATGGAGTGTATGTGAAGAAGATTTCTTTGACTTCATACTTATATCTGAAGCATGTGTCATATCTCTCATAGCTACTGTTTTTTCTCTGTTCATCTCTTCTTCCTGACGCATATGTTGTTTCTTGTTTTGAACATTTTCCATGATATCCCCACTAATTGGCTCAATATGCACTATCTCCCCTGTATATGATATTCTCTGCATTTCTTTATTCCATTTGAGGAGAGAGAGAGATGGAAATGAATTAGAACTCTGGGTCATAAGCACCCCTGGTCCATCTTTACTTCCCTGCATCTTCTCTTCTTTATTTTCCGGCAACATGAGGTTTATTATCTCCACTGCAACCTCTTCCTTGTTCTGTTGCACATTCATTTCCATTGTGTAGCCTGACCTATTGTTTTGCGTATCAGTGGGATTGGCCTTCTGTGCTTCCCTGTAACATGTTGATTTCTCTAGCTTTAGATAGACAGAGTTCTTGAATCTTACTCTTTGTTGATCCATCTCTGCCTTTAATGTTCTATACATTTCAATATCTATTTTGTCATCAGTTGAAAGAGGTCTGGGAGATGAAAATGCATTATCTATGCTTTTATTTTGTTGCATGTCTTTTATTGGAAATTTTGAGTTGCATTCCTGTTCCTTCCTACAGTATAGGGTACCATGCTCAGTGACAGTGAGTGTCTGGGAACAAGGAGGCTTCTGTGTCTTCATGGTTACACTTATGGGACCTGTAAGATTTTCTCCTTCTGAAAATTTGAATAGTTCTTTCTGCCTTTTAGACTCAGATAAAACAGACATAGTAGACCTTGTTAGTAAATCTCTTTGCAGATCTTCATATTTCTTGGCAATATGACCACCCATTTTCCTTCTAGAGCTTTCATCACATGGATCTCCAAGCATTGCGTACCCTGACTTGGTAGGTGGGATATTTTGATCAACTGTGTGAGTTATTACTTTTTGAGTTGCTATGTCTTCCTTTTCTTCTTTAGAGTGTAGGGAACCTGCCCCGTGAACATCCAGCTTCCTTGTAGGGCTCCCACCTGATGTCATACTATACTCTGCTCCGTCAATTAAAATGTAATCAAACCTTGCTTTCTCTGATTTTGGACATGAAATCTCTTCACCTAGTCTATGTAGTGTGTCTTTTTGTGGTGGCATATTCTTCTGTAGCTTTTCAGTTTGAAATGGAATCATCTGTGGAGAACATACTATTTCTGATGTATTTTTCGAACACAGTGTTTGTTGTTGCGCTTCTTGCTCTGCAATAAGCATGTTTTGATCTTTTCTATGTCCTATATTACTCAGAAGTGGTAGGCCTGCCTTGGATAAAATTTCATTATCTTGTTTATTCTTTTCATTTTGCCATATTGATTCTAATATGTTTTTGAAGGTACTCCATTTATTGCAGGAATATGTAGATAGTCTTTCTCCGTTATCTTGTTCCCCTTCACCTTGCTCCCAACCCCTTATATTGCTGTTTTTTTCCCTTAATGGGCCTTTCTTTGGTTTTTCTTTTTTATGGTTTTTGATGGCAGGTGAGACAGGTGTAGATGAAAGAAAGGAATTTATAAACATATATGACCTACCTAGAGATCTTTGTTGGGCCATGTTTTCCAAGATGGGATCCTGTTGCTTTCCGTGGCTAAGGGCACCAGACCTGGTGATATTAATTGTCTTTGAAACCATCTGTGCTTTCCTAGTTCTAGACTTAGGGATTTGTGCAGCATTTCTTTGCCCTTTAAAATCAGATGAAGCTGGCACGGAGAAATAAGAAAACTCTAGGTTTCTGGCTGGTAAATCCTTTTGTAACCTTAACTCTCTCTCTGGAATAGAATTAGCAAGTTCCTTTCCAGGGCTTTTTCCAAATGGGATGCCACTCTGTGCTGTGTCCTTTAAAGATTCACCAATTGATTTCCCTGGCATTGGAGATACAATCTTTGGACTCCTTGTATCTTTTAATCCTGCGTGTGTTTGTGTGTTTTTTGGTAACTTCTCAAATGGAAGTACATTCAAAATAGAGCGAGGAATAGGATGTAATACACGTTGTGTGAAAAGTGTTTGTTGCTGCAGCTCCTGAGCAGTGGTAAAGAATTCTGGGACTTTTTTCCTTGCTGAGTTCATCCATTCTACATCTGGGTATACAAAGAGAGGCTCTGTCATCTTAGGAGCATTAAAACTGAAGTGTTGAGTGTTCCAAGGGGCTACTTCTCCACCTGGGTTTTTTGCTTTCTTCATACTGTTTGAGGCACTGCCCCTTTTATCGCTGGAACTGGCACAGCAGGCTTGCTCTCCATCTGGTGATTGCTCTTGCTGTTGTAGTTCATGACTGAATCTCATTTTCCACGGCTCGTCTATCTCTACTTTTATTCTATTATTCACATTCATGTCAAATGAAATAGGCAATGCAGAGGAAATGGCATTTAGGATTATATCTGCCACAGGTATATATTTTCCCATCATGACTTTGAAGTTGCATTCGAATGCCCTTCTATGCCTCGGTGGACCACGTTTTGTGATATTAAATGTCTGGGAAATCAGTGCATTCTTTGCCTTCAAAGTTACACATTTGGGACTCATTTTATTTCTCTTGCCTGAACATTTTAAATATTTTCTCTTTGATGTAGGTAAAGCAAGTGTGGATAAAGCCAAAGACTCTGGCATCGTTGCTGGCAATTCTTGTGCTAATCCTTCCTTTCTCTCTGCAGTAAGATCTCCCAGTACCTCAGAATAGTTTATATCTACCAAAAAGTCAAAAATCCTTGATTTCAGTATCTTTGAAGGTAAATTTTTTTGACCACCCTTCCCTGGGATATTAAACATCTGTGAAATTGGTGTCTTCCTTGCCTTCTTAGTTACACATTTGGAGCTCATTTTACATTTGAAGGTTGTACACGTAAATGTCTTTCTCTGCCTTTTAGATTCAGGTGGATCAGGCGTGGAGACAGCCAAGGACTGCAGAACTGTTGCTTGTTGATTTTTATTAAACTCTGGCTCTTCCTCTTTACCATGACTATACAGTTCCCCTGGATGGCTCCCATTACTTGGGATACCACCTCCGATTGGATCAATAAAAACTTGATCGCTTAGTGATTCCTTTGACTTTATAAGAGGAAGCTTTGACTTTGCTGTGCAGATTGTGCCGTTTTGTGTCTGGTGGCTTTTCTTTGGCTCCTCTACCTGCATTGGATCTGTAGGCTGCATTTGTTGTGGGACATCTTCTTCTGTAACAAACAGAATTCTTCCACTTCCTTCCTTTTCTGATTTGTGAAGGTCAAGTTCCTCCTTCTGGCCTGAGCAGAATATGAAGTATCTGCCCTGCTCTGGAACTCCTTTTAGTAATGTCTCCTGTTCACTTTCTTCTTCCTCTTCCCCTTGAAGACTGGTTTCTCTGGTGTCATCTGAAGTAATGTTCTCTTCATGTAGTGATAGCACTTGCTTTACTTGTTTAGAACTGAGTCTTTTTTTTCCTAGCATGTCTTTTTCTATCTTGCTATGCATATTCATGTCAGGTGCAATAGTCATGAATGAGGACATTTTATCGGCCATTTCTTTACCTTGATCCACTGCTTCCATTTTGGTTGTCAAGTTACATCCCAATTCTTTTCTGTGTTTTGGGCTAGCACCACCCTTGATATTGAGTATGTATGAAATTGATGGTTTCTTTGCTTTTAAAATTCCACACTTGGGTCTCACTAACGTTTTTATATCTGAATATTGTTTGAAGTTTCTCTTCCTTTTGGATATAGAAAAAGCAGACATGCAGGAACCAAAAGTCACTGTCTTTTTCCTCTCAATACCAGCAGTCTGTTCCCTTTGATGGTTTGTATCAGATGAGACAACACATTCCTTTGCAGAAAATATTGCATCAGTCTTTACCTCCCCTGACTTTGGAGGGGAAAACTTAGCATACCTCTCTGGCTTTTCAAATGGAAATTGATCAAATATGGGGCATGAAGCAGAATCCAAAATAGTTTGTGGAAGATGGATTTGTAGTTTTACCTGGATATTTATACTTCCTGGTTGTTTCAGTTCCTCATCTGTTTTAACAAGTTCATGGTTCTCCGTCTGATATACATTGAATATGAAGCCTTGACTATTCTTTGAGGCTAGTAGAGATTCACATTCCCCTTCCCCCTCTTTCCCATCTTTCCCACTGCTAGATAAACCACCCACATTCATAGAAAAACACACTTTCTGTTCATTTGGAAACTTCTCTTGCATTAGCTGTGAATGACCAAGTCTGGTTTCCCTTTGCATATCTGTCTCCACATTTAATATGCTATTCATGTTGGTGTTGGGCAAATTAGGCAGTTTGGAGTGAATGACATCCCAAAATGCATCTGTTACATTTTTCTTTTGCTGTGGATTTTTCATCTTTGTTTTCAAAATGCATCGCAGTTCCTTGCTCTGCCTGTCATTAAGCAGATGTGAAATTGATGGCTTTTTTCCCCTCATAGTTCTATATCTGCAACTCACTATTATTTGCTTCCTTGCTATTTTTATGTGTTTTTCTTTCTTTTAGATTTAGAAGCAAAGAACTTCACAGAATCAGAAGACTTCAGGGATGTCACTTGCAAATATTTTTGTAACTTTGAATTTTTTCCGCATAAAATAACCTAGTTGCGAGAGAGAGAGAGAGAGAGAGAGAGAGAGAGAGAGAGAAGGGAAACCATACTCACATAATTTTTATTACAATATATTGCTATAAATGTTCTATTTTATTATTAATTATTGTTAATCTCTCAACTGTGAATACTTTATAAATTACACTTTATCACGAGTGTGTATGGGTAGGAATAGCATAGTATACTACATAGGGTTTCCACGGGTATAAACTCTTTTCAGCACCTACCTCAGGGTTTGCCTGATTCATAGCAGCCTAAATGAATATTTTCTCAATTGAATTATCAAAACTGGTTGTTATCGAAACTACTTTGTGCATATTGGAGAGGTTGGGGTAGGGAAGCAAGTCGCTTAACCTCCTTAAGCATATTTTCCTCATTTGTAAAAACAGTAATAATACTACCTATCTGGAAGGATAATTTCAATAGTATATGAAAAGCCATTAACACAGCTTGGAACTGAGCAACCATTTATAATCGACATTAGATTGAATTATGATGATCAGCTGTGGTCCTCTGTACATATGAAAAAAACCCTTTTCTGGAACTCAGATGTAAATTCAATTTTCAATAGAACAAAACCAACCTGTTTCATTTTATTTCAAAATATAACACTTACCTTTTTTTTCTGAAGATGAATGAATTGACAAATAATCTAGAGATAAATAGATAAATTTAAAAAGTCAGAGCACCAATAGGAGAAGTTTGACTGAATAAGTTTTACATATATTAAAATATGAAATTGCATAATATTTTCCAAATTTCATGCTTTTTAGGCAACTGTCTTCATTCTACTTCAAGGGAGACAATAAAATGTTAGAGGAATAAGCCCAATATCAAAGCTCCACAATTTTATGTCATTCTTATGTGTAGTTTTGAAATATAGAAGAGAAGGAAATCAACCATTTTTTTCTTACCTTCTGGGCCCCTGAACTCTTCTTTTCTGGAAGTGCAAGGTTTTTCTGAAACCATGCACAAGTCTGTGTACGCACGATCTCAAAATTAACTCCTAGGAAAATTTAAATAAAGAAGATTGGCATCCATGCATTTGGAGAAGCCCAGGACTCTATGTGGTCCCATAAGGTTAAAAAAAATGTATTATCTTCCAATCCACCCACCACAGCTTTTTTAAAATAAATAAAACAGCTTTGGCATTTTTATCTGATATGTGAAATAGATTGATGTCTCACTCTGAAGTCCTCCTCCTCTCATAACCACATGCGATGCTCTGTGTCAGAAAAAAAGTGCCAGTGCTGTCAGTGTCTTAGCGAGGGCAGCGATGATTAAATAAGGTGAGGTGCATGTCATAGTGGGCATTTAACTGTGCTCGTAGCAACTTACTTCAGCAATAATGGAAGCTCATCTGTGAGACATGTGGTGCTATGTGTGGTTTGTTTGTTTTTACTTACAAAAATTTTTAAAGGATCCTTTATTAATTTTGCAAAAAGAAACACAGTTCTATAAAGAACCCCTTAGCATAGTTGGGTTATCAATGCCTTGTAATTCAAATATAGGACAAATTTGAATTGGACATAACCATTTTCTATTACCATCAGGAATAGTATAGTTTATGTTTCTATGTGATCAAGAAAATATAAATTTAGGGGGGCCAGGTTTAGAAAAAGAAACAAACTAAAACAAAACTAGATGCCCCAGTTTAATTTAAATTTCAGAGAAATGCCAAATAATTTTTCAGTATAAGTATGCTTCATTGTTATTATGAGGACATAATAACTTGTCTCTTATAAGCTGTGGACTTTTCCCCTTAACCTTAAAATATGCACCTAATAGTTAATATTTCTTTTTGCTAGATGAGTCTCTTGGCAAGGTTCATCTTCAGCAATAGCAATCAAACTGCTGGCATGATTTTCTTTTTTTTTTTGCACTTCATTTGATGCTTTTATTGAGCAAATCTGTATTAAGCAATTTAAAAATCACTGACCCTGAGGCCTATCTTCTTCAAGCCACTCTTTTCTGTTAGTGAGCACGTTTTCATGGATGTAGACACTTTCTTCATCCCTTTTGGTAGATTCACGTGCTGACAATAGTATCCATGGTATGTTTCACTACCATTTTTCCATCGAGTGTTTGTCTTTTGATTATTGTCTCTTTGCAAAGCCGGTTTTTGGACATGGGCCAATGAGCCACTGTCTAATGTTATGATGCTCTTCACTTTCTGGTTGTCTGCTGTGGTTTCATTAAACTCCTTCATTAAACTCCTTGAAGCGAGGCAGGATAATACGGGCAGTATGATACAGAATTCAGTCTCTGAGATGGAATCCTAGCTGCGTGACCTTGAACACGTTACCGCTCTCAAAGCTTGTTTCCTCATCTGTTAATTGAGATAATAAGACTGCCTTCCTAGAGGATTTTGTAAAACTTAATTTTGGTGTTTCTAGACACAGTATGCGCTCCATAAATGGCAGTTATTACTGCTGCTGCTAATAATGGTAACATTGGTACTTCACACCACGTTGCCTATCCTGTACATGTCCAGTTTCTTTCTTAGTGAGCTGTACACTGCAGGTGTTTCCTAGAATTGGGTAGTCTGACTTGAAAACTATGTGCGTGGAAATAGGGATGTGTTCTTCATAGAGATACGTAGGCATCTGCGTGTTTTAGGGTGCCTGCAGTAAACCAGGGACCTTCTCTTAAACCTTTTCTGTTTTGCTTTTGATAGAATTCTCTTTCACTTTATTTTTTTATTTTTAAAACTTGAAATTAAGTATAGTTTTGTAGTTTGAGTCCCTGTTCACATACAGAGAATCATTTCCCAAGATACAGAACAAGATCTGATGACTTGATGATCTTTCTCAGCTTGTTTACACGATGATGGCCTCTTCATACAGGAGGGCTGTCCTCCCATGGATGTGGGTGCTAACTCATCTCTGACAGTGGGCATACATTTTTAATTGAATGAAAATTTTTTCAAGAAATGAGAAACCCCAGCTCCCTTTGGGACTGAAAGTGTTAATAAAATATTTGCATTTCTCAATCAGATGATACTGATGCAGTTTTTGAATGTATACGGGTATGTTGTTTGTATGTACATGTACATGTGCAAACGTTTTAAACAAATTTTTTCCTAAAAGTTATGCAGAAAGCATTGATATCAGTGATTGTAATGTAAAAAATGTTCAAGCATATGTTTTAGCAACTTTAGGTACATCCACCACATGATGTAACATGAGAGAGTCATTCCTAGTGATAAGGCTTGGGTGAGTTTTAGTGTGGGAGAGGGGGAGGTCCAAGGACAACAGAGGAGTCGTTATAGATTCAGAGGGCATTATGGGCTGCGTGAAAGAAAAGAAGGGCTTCAGAGATGACTTCCAGGATGGATACTAGCCATCTGTTTTGGAACCAAAAGTGCTACTCTGTCTTGCAAATATGGAGGAGTTGATGGAAAACACTGTACCTTTGACTTCAGTCCTACCTCCCTTTGGAAGTTACTTTTTTCTCTTTGCCTAATTTTCCTTATAAGTGTTCAGTCTTCTATATCTTGCTATATTGTATGTCCTTTTTTTTGAAATGTTGTAAATTGTTTTAGCTGCATATTGATATATATATACACACACACACACATTGATATATATATACACATTTAGAGATGTTCTTTCCAAAATCTTGGTTTGTTCATGGAATATATGCCATAGTATTTATAATAAATGGCCTCTATACAATTAAAAGGCTAAAGTAGGGAAAGAGCAGATAGGAGGACAGCCACAAAACTATGTAGAAAATGCTTTTTGTACAAAATAAATGTTTGCCTAAGGCTGTTATAACTGTGGGGGCTTGATAATAGCTCTGGCTTCAAGGAGCCTGCATACACAGTCGGGTTCATGAGGCCAGTTCTAGAAGAAACAGGAAGACGTAAGGACTAAGCTATGTGTCAAAATCATCCTAAACTATTCTAAAGCTCTAGGCTAAGCTTTGGTCTAATTTCTTAAGTGGCTGTAAGGGTTTCTGCTTGGAGTTTTGTGAAGCTATCTTACCTAATCTTTGCTGATGAATATGAAACAGAAATCTCAACCAGGCAAGCTGCTGTGTTTGCTGTGGTAGAAACAGATAGGGTAGTAAGCAGATACCCAAGAAACAATATAATGTGATTTTTAGGAAGGTAAGAAAATAGATTTCGTTATCTATTCTATATTCTGAATTTACTGAGCCTGCATTGATTCAAATGAAGATGGGACTTGAGTAAATCTACTCTACTGAGGAAGTACAAAGAAGCCCAAGAATATAGTTCTTTTGGCACAGCTGAGATGTTGAATTACTCCGTTAATATATATGATGGAAACCTGCTCTCTATGGTGACCAGTGGAGGTATTCTGTTCCAGATTTGCTAGTTAGAGTTAAATTTATAAAGTGCAAGATGATAAATTCTGTAGCCAAAAGCAGCCTCAGAGAGAATTTAATCTAGAGATTCCAACTGAAGAACTAGGTCTGGAATAATAAATGTGATTTGATTTCCTGGCTGGCGTGTGAAAGCTGACACCTGTACCCTCCCAAAGGACAGCTGCCATAGTTCAAGTCAAAGGCAGAGTGTCAGAACCCATGATTTGTACTCACTTAGGAATGGAAATTGTTATTTGTTATGGTTCCTATGTCAAAACCAGTTTGATTTCCATAAGTTTTACTTTTCTTTCTTTTTGGAAATATATTTTT